GTGTGTGTGTGTGTGTGTGTGTGTGTGTGTGTGTGTGTGTGTGTGTGAGTATATTTTGATATCCTTAGATGTCTGTGCGTCTCTGACCCGGCCACTGCAGGATTGCAGGACGCATATATCTGTAGTGAGAAGCTTTGGGGGTATTTTAAGGGTATAAAGGAAGTAAAGAATTTAAACTTTTGGGCTTGAGGGCTATGAGCTTTTCCAGCTGCAGTTTTTTTTAAGATTTAGATTTTTCTGTCAAGACTATTTGTGCATCACACAAATACTTCTGAGTTCATTTGACATGAAGTTTGAGTCCAAAGTTTATTTTGGTTTTGGCGTTTTATCAAGATACTCAGAAACACATTCAGAAACAAGCTCCTTCTTGGCACCTCTTCAGTGTTAAAGGTCGGGTAACAGTCTTCCTTACATGTGCACAGCAGCAAAACAAGCCACCACCAGGCTGCTGTGCTCAAGGCAGGTTTCATCGCTCACACACGGCCTTGACTCAGATCAAGGAGAAACTGCCTCCATCACATTCAAACATCTGGAATACAGTAATATGTCGGATAAGCACTTTCACAACATTCAAGGGAGTTACATTAGAAGCCCGATCGCGCATTCTGAGCTTGTGACTCTTTTGGAAGTGGAGAAGAAGAAGGAATATTTCGGACAGCCTGTATTAAACAGATTCCTGCCCACTTAGATCAGTGCAGCTGTTGCAGCAGCACATGCGAGGCGTCAATGCCGAGCTCTGCCTCGTAACTTTAGCGGTACAATCGAGGGGAAGGATGTTTCCAAGGACGCTGTGTATTTCTGTCAGTGAGTTGTGTGCTGGCTGAAAGGTTGACTTCAAAGTTGTCTAATGTGCATGAGATGAAAACATTAGAAAATTACAAATGGACTGGTTTTGAGAAGGGTACAGAGTTGTTAGCTGCACAGATGTGACACAGCTTGTAAGAGTTTTAGCACTTCATAGATTTTTCATAAATCGTATGTGTGCATAGTCAATCCGTCTGTTTGAAAGAAAGAAAATAGCCGTTCAAAATGTTTCCAATCGGATGCCCTCTGCTAGCCTCCCTCTGTGTTCCTGTTGCACGTCTCATCTGAATGCTGATGGAATAATCAATGTGTGTCTGCGAGAGAGGAGCAGTGAACACCTGAGAGGGTCAGATAAATACAACGGACCCGATGAAACCACAGAACCACAGGTGCCTTCATTTCCGCCCTGCGGCATTTACAGCCTGACTGTGTGTGTTTGAGTTTGGGCGTATGAGCACATGTGCTGTGTATTTCTGTATGTGTGTTTTTTTTAGTCTGCTGCAAGTGTGTGTGTGTGTATGTGTGTGTTTCTGTGTGTACATGTGAGGAGAGAAAGGAAGTGGATGATGAGGAGAGGATTATAGGTCACCTCGACATTGTCCCGGGCAGGCCCACACACTTTATTATCACACCTGAATGTGCCGTTATTGTGGAGGCGCGGGTTGCTGTCACAATAGATTGGGAGATTTCTATATCAATTTTGCGAAAGGTTCAGCCTGAGAACAATTAAACAATGCTCCACGGAGCAAAGGAAAAAAAAAAAAGAAGGAATTCAAATTGAGACTGAAAGTGGGACTGAAGACCGATGAAGCAGCTGTTCAGGGATTGGATGAGCTACAGAATGTAGCGCTGGTCTCTGAACTGCCCCACTCTGTCTCTATTTTAATTTGGATTCTACTCTCAGTGAAAATACATCCATCATTGCCCCCAGCCTGCCAGCCGAGGCAAGGCACGTACCAGAGACACGCACCAAGTCAGTCGGCTACACAACCACATACGATACACATACTCGCATGCATGGTGTAAAGCAGAGACGGATAAATGGGCCACAAAAGACAGGTCAGGGCACCGAGGTACTGTAAGTGTGAATGTGGTGGGGCAGGTAGAGTGTGTGTGCATGTGCTGTTCGTGTATATAGGAGTCAAAGTGCAGGAGAAGAATGTAACGTTCTCACGGTTGAGCTGGTGAGGCCTGTTGGGAGACCAATAGTCTGGACGATTGGCCGTTCAGAGCTGTTGTACAACTACCTCATTCATGTACCAGTTTGGGTTACTGGCAGCATATTTGACCCTCTAGTTCAGTGGCTAAAGGCCGTGGTTTGTTCGAAACAAACTAGATTGTCCAACATGTTGTCAGACCACATCTGAATGCACAAAGTGTTTAGCAATTCCAATCTCCCACACTCAAGACCTGCCATCATAGAGAGGGGTGGGACGGGATTACATCGCACAGTCCTGGACAGTATCTCCTCGAATGCACTCATGGTGTTTGCACTAAGGATGTATTCGAATACGTGATTCAGGAAATTACAAGGGTGCGCTGGAAACAGATATTTCTACAACCCAAAGTTGTGTGTTGTTTTCGGGAGGAAAAAAACAACGTGATTGAGGTTTCATGGAAAAGTCAGTTCAAAAATTCCAATTCCAACCTCAGGACTGGTTTCAGACACTCTTTTATGATCCTACAAGCACATTGTACACACACTGACCCCTTAAGGCTTCTGAAAGGGGCAGAAGTTTGGTCATTAAAGGCTCACCAGTGACTTAACCAAAAAATGTCTCATTTAAACTGTTTAACAAATATGTTCAGTGGTAGTGTAAAATAATGGTCCCATACTGAAAAAAATACTGTGAATCATAAATGACTGAAATGGTTGAAGAATCGTATTTTTTTTGTACCATTAAAAAGTTTTGGCCTCGGTCTGACTGTTTCATGTGGTCAGGTCCATTTCTATACTTGGTGAGGGTAGTAGCATAATGCCAACCTGAATTTCAGGAGAATTTACTTGGATATCCGGGGGGACATCATTTTCTATGTGTCTGTGCGCGAGGCTCAGTGCACACACACACATGGATTAAGTAAGCTTAGATATGGAAGCTCTACATTGTCTAGAACCTTTATCAGGACATGTCTTGTTAGCTGTATCAAGTCTCCTGATTTTTGTTATCCCCAATGTGCATTATGCAAGCATGAACTGTTGAGCAACTTTGTACAAAGTCCAATGTGTTTGGGGAAAGGTATTTCACATTAAAGCAAAAAAAATATGTATCTAGCAGTTTTGTAAAGATATGTGAACATCGGTAAATGTACAATTTCACAACGATTTGGCACCACAATGAAGCAAAAGCATTTAATCTGCTGACAAATTAAATATCATTGTCTAATATGTGCAGAACTTTTTGCTTGA